TAATGATTTTATTTTATTTTATTAATGATTGATTTTTTATTAAATAATTTATGCAGAAATTATACATTAATTAAAAATAAATTAAAATATTGTATTAGAGAAAATAATAGTATATTTATTGATGTGGAATAAAAAAAAATTTCGGTTCTACAATGTGTACTGAGAATTTTGGCCGTTCCAGACGTAATCCGACAAGTTTCTCGGAAATAAAAATTAGTCCGGCCCACCGAATTGGTCCAACCCCAATCTTTAGCCCAAACTCATTTTACCCTAACCTAATTAGCAAGTGTATTGGCTAGTTTGTTAAGAGGGTTTAAATAAAAATTAGTTTTGGGCAAAGTTTCTGATTTAAGTGAGATGCAGAACCGATTTGGGAGAGTGAGAGGGAGAGGAGAGGGCGAGGTTTCTTGGGCAACTTCCGGCATGTGATTCCGGTGAAAGTAACCTTTTTCCGATGGCCGATTCCGGTGGATGTCGAGATTGGTGTGAAGATGTCGACCATTTCAGACAGTAAGATCGATGTCGATGTTCGTATTTGGGACTATTCGATATTGTTTCAGACAAGATTGGTGAGAAACGGAGTCGTCGGAGGAAACTGCTGCTGCCGGATATGATGACTGGAGGGAGCTGCCGCCGGAGTTTGCCGCTGTTCTGCCGCGCTCAGCGGCCGTCCGTTGTTGATCGCATGGTTCGCCGTCGCGGATCGGCCTTTACCGTTCCAGATACGTCGCGGCGTATCGGTCGCGACGTATCGGTCAAATATCGACCTATATGATTTTTTTATATAAAATTTATATTTTTTTAAAAAAATAATAAATAAATAATTAAAATACATCAAATTATAAATATAATTAATTTAAATATATATATTATTGAAAAAATATATTATAATTTATAATAGATTAAAATTTAAAATAAATAATATTTCAACTCAATTAGCGCATATGTATATATATAAATGTAAATGCTAAATTTTAAATTTTGCATATTGTCATTATACTAATAAATTTATTTTAATAACAAAATGATGTACCTTGTGTCCGTCAATGTCAATATTTCATCTTTATCACCTGGATTACATATAAATAAAAATATTTAGAAAAAAAATACCAATAAAATTTTATAAAATGTTCAAATTATGTTTATACTAAATATTTATACTTACCATTCAATATCATGTGGAATGTCGTGGAGGCTCAAAATCATTTTCATCTGCTGATCGAGTATAGTATAAGTATCCTTGTTCTTGATTCATATTGCATGGATAAGGGGAGATGTTCGAACCATATTGATTTTATCTAAATGAACCCCTTCCATATACATCAAAACCTCGATATTCTCTATTATCATTGCTTCTGCGTGATGAACCATAATTTTGTCTACGATCATCAATACTACCCGAACCAGATGTAATCCCTCCGTAATATGTTCCAACTGGTTGGTTGGATCCAAATATAGGAAGATTGGCTGAATCCTGAAGATGTCTGGGTAGATTAGATAAACCGTATCCTGAGTAATAGGGATTATGATATGCATTTGGGTGGTCCCACTCCTGTCTCCCCAATCTATTACTTGAGTTGTGAGAAGAATCTCCATAGGAATAACCTATATTCAAGTCTTGCATATGTTTGTAAACTCCAGAATATTTCCTAGTATCTGAAGAATTTGAAGCATCGGCTTCACTTGAAAATTCTGTTAAACTATTTAGAAAATCTCTTTGAGCTTCTATATCAGGACGATATCCATGATCAGTGTCTTGGGTAGCATAATAATTTTCATTTCCTTGAGCCCATTCCATATCACTTGAGTATCGGCTATCACTGTAGCTCCCACTACCACCACCACCACATCACCACCACCACCACCACCACCACCACCACCACCACCATCATCATCATCATCATCATCATTGTTATTATTCTTATCTTCACCATTAGTTGATGAAAATGAAGATTCCAATATGATTGCTTTTTTTTTTCTTGGCCGTATTTTTGTTTTCTGATTTTTTCTCTTTCGCCTTCTTTTTTCCATCAGCTATAAATTGAAATAAAAGCATATCACTGTCATGATCATTATGCTCACTTTGACCTCCATCTCCACTTTCTTCAATAGCCTCATCCAACCAATTCAAATCACTATCACGAATAAGTGGAGATTCATTTTCTCTGACCCATTCATCTAAAATATCATTTTCATAAAAAATATGATTCAAATCAATTGGGTCATAAAAATCGTCTGTGTCTGTCCTTTGCATAAAATTTTTTACGCGAAGACGCATGTTGTAGTAGACATAGACTAGCTTATGCAATTTCTAAATAGCTAATCTATTCCGAAGTTTAGTATGGATCAAAGCCCACGTACTCCAATTCCGCTCACAACCCGATGATGTGCAAGTTTGACTCAAAACTTTTAATGCAATTTTTCTTAAATTAGGGGCTTCATCACCGTACATATTCCACCAGTCAGCTATTAAAAATAAATAAAAAATTATTAATAATGCAACATTTTATAACAAGTATGTTTGAAAATATAATTAAATGATAAATTTCATAATACATACCTGGTAAAGATATAGATACAGCTCTAATAGCAAGTGCACTTCCAAACTCTCCAATTTTGTTAACAAATGTGTTTATCTATAGACAATATAATGGTAAAATTATTAGAAATTAATATATATATATATATTATTTATAAATTTCACACAATTTACCTCATTCATAGCCTTTACTTGTATATCCAAATCTGGCTCGAGTCTTTTGATAACTTCTTTTACTCCTTTTCGAACCTCCGATGAATCAAATTCACAAGTGCCGGAGTATTGAAGACCATGATTTAAAAAATAAGCTGCATGAAATGTATATAAAATTAATAAATAAAACAAACGATTAGCACAGTATAAAAACAAAAAAGTAACAACAATAGTTACCTGCTGCATGCAAATCTTGATGCAATTGATTATACCATCTTTCATCGATGATATCCCAATATTGTTGAAAATCTTTCACCGCGGTTTTTATTGCCATTTTTTCCCTATCCATTGCCTCATAAATGATAGGTAGTGTAGGTTTTTTATCTTGATCAACTACTTTTAAAACCTTCACTAAGGGTTCCATGACCCCACAAACTCGGCGTATCCGTTTCCAAAATCTTTCATTCAAAATCAAGTCTGATATATCTCCGGCTTCATGTCTTCTCCTCGAGGTATTATTGTACTCAACCCATTCTCTAGAAGTACACATTCTTTTCAAATCGGTTGCATATCTCATAAGACTTTCCATTGCAACAAACTCGGTTGCAAATCTTGTTATGCCTGGTCGCAACAGATCTCGGCCATTCATATATGTTTTCATCAAATTGACCACTTTATCACTGTTGTATATAAATCCTGTAATTCTTCTGGCTTCTTTTATCGTATCTTTCACTGACAATATATCTCCGATGTCTTCTAACATCAAATCAATGCAATGTGCAACGTATGGAGACCAAAAAATGTGTTTTCTTTTCCTCATCAGTTTTTTCCCAGCCGCCTTCATACTAGCTTCGCTATCAATTACAATTTGTACAATATTGTCAACCCCTACTGATTCCACCACCTTATCCACTAGGGTGTAGACAAAGTCCGCAGTCTTCGCCTTATTTGTACAATAAACCGAACTGTGATATATCATAGTTCTCTATCACAGTACACCATAAAATTTATGATTGGATGTTTTGTACGAGTACTCCAACCATCACACATAATTGTACATCCGTATGTTTTCCATTTCTGCTTTAAAGAATCAACATACTGTACAACTTCTTGCATCTCTTCGTTTAAATATTCACCACCAATTTGTTTACCAGTAGGTCCTTTAACTCCAGGTTCAACCGATGCAATCGTGTCAATCATCGTTTGGTAGTAAGGACCACTATCGGCAGCGTGAAATGGTATTGCATTAAAATGAAAAAATTTCGAAATTGCTCTACCCATTTTTTTTTGCATTATCTTTTGAAAACATATTTTTCAAAGACTTATTCTTCGATTGAAACATGTATGGATCAAGTTTTTTTTTTATGCAAACCTTCTGTCTTTTTCATAGAACTTTCGATAAATTTCTTTTACTTTTTTTTGTATTCGAGCTGCTTCCTCCTACAAAGATAAAAAAAAAACATATGATCATATATGGTTGTTATCTCAAAAAATATATACTAATATTTAAATATAGGGTAAACTATTTTTTTAGTCCCGTAACTTGACCCCCTTATCATTTTAGTCCCATAACTGGAGCCTGTCGCAAACTAGTCTCATAAGTGAAAACTTTTCGTTGTTTTAGTCCTCCGGCGCCGGAGATGCCCGCGTGGCTCGCCGGAGATGACGTGTCCGCCAGGTCAGCGACATCTGGCGGACACATGGATTTTTTATTTTTTTTTTCATTTTCTTAAATTTTTTTTTAAAACTTATTTTTAATTTATTATAAATTTTATTTGTATTTTTTTATTCTTATTATTCGGTCCAAATTAAAAAAGTTAAAAAAAAAAATAAATCCACGTGTCCGCCAGGTGTCGCTGACCTGGCGGGACACCTGGCGGACACGTCACCTCCGGCGAGCCACGCGGGCGTCTACGGCGCAAGAGGACTAAAACAACGAAAATTCTTCACTTATGGGACTAGTTTGCGACAGGCTCCACTTACAGGACTAAAATGATAAAGGGGTCCACTTACGGGACTGAAAAAACAGTTTCCCTTTAAATATATTTTATAAATTCAATAAATATACCAACTTTAAAATTCAAGCTTGGTAGATCTCCGGATACAGAATGTCTACGCTGCTGCTCCATAAATTCCATATTTCTGCTTTCAGCCATTGCTCTTTTTAAGTGTTTTCTTTCAAGAGCATCTATTTCATCTTCATTTATTTCAAAAACTTCATCTTCTTCCTCATCAGAATCATCTTCCAAACGAATGGAATTGTGCAATGCTTCTAACTTTTTTTTTTTTTTTTTTTTAATGTGCTGCTCGCATACTTTTTCCTTGGATCAAATGTTTTTTTAATAACTCTCTTATTTCTTTTGAAGCTCTCATGCATGCTTCAACTTAACATGTAACATGTGTTATATGTTGTTTCATCCTAGTAATTTCGCCGTGAACAATTTTACCACAATAATTGCATTTTGCTTGTTTTCTATCGTTGCTGATAGGAGTAGCATGATTCCAACCAATATCTCTGTACGGTGCCATTTTACACAAACTCTGTAATTGAATAATACAATTGTTAAAATATTTATAAATAGTAATTCATTAATTAAATAGACAAATTATATATATTAGTTTATTAATAAATCAAACTTATACAAAAATATAACTAGATAACTAATTTGTTTATATAAAAAAATTTAGTTAAAATATTAATTTTTTACAATTAATTTACAATTAATACAAATTTTGTCTAAAATAATATTAATTTTAAATAATAAAGTTATAAGTTATTCTAAAATATTAATTTTAATGAACTCAATTTATAAATAAAAATTAAATACAATCCAAAATAATTGAACTGAATTTATCAATTAATTAAACAAATTATTCTAAATAATTAAATCTAAAATAATTAAACCTATCAATTAAATAAATTAATTAATAAAAAATAATTCAAAATTAATTTCAATAAAATAATTAATTTTATACTTATATTTATAAATATTTAAATTAATTAAAATAATATAATAATTAAATTTACCCAAGTTTCCTCCCACTTCTTTCTTCCCCACTTCTTCCCTTCCCCACTTCTTCCCCACGATTCTTCTTCAGCGACGCAGAACGGTGGGCACAGACCAGCGGCGAGCAAAACGGTGGGCACAGACCAGCGGCGAGCAGAACGGCGGGCACAGACCAGCGGCGAGCAACAAAATTTCTTCGCCAATTTCTTCTCAACACCGACGATTCAAAAATCCACCTTCCAGCACCGCAATACCCAACCAAAACACCTCGTTCTCCAGGTAAATGTTTTCTTCCCCAATCCGTCGAATTGAGATGAATTGGTACAATAATATGAATTAAAACTAGAAAAAAGAGTAAGAATATGATTTATAAACGATTTTATAGATAAGATATGAATGGATGTGAGAGTTTTTGTTAAATATCGGATATATCGGATATTTTGGACAACCCGGAACGGTCAGGACCGTTCCGGTTCCGGATCGGCCGAGTCGGACCGGACTCGGCCGATCCGGCGAACCATGGTTGATCGTTATCGTCATCGTTTATCGATATAAGGCGAAACTGATTTCCCCAATTCTGTCTAGAAGACGAACAAAGAAGTGTTTTTCTTCCTTTAATTTCAATTCCATAAATTGAAGGCTATGTGCATGCGTGGTTTGATTAATTCCTTAGTGTCGTGTTTGTTTGTGTTTCGACTTTAATCTCTCAGATCTTCCAGAATGCCTTATGCTTAATTGTGCCATTTCAATTTAATTTCGTATCGATTTATTATTCATTTTGATTTTATTTGAATTAATTGCTTTGCTATTAATTGATTTGTATAACTTTGTTTATTAGATCTGTGCGAATAAAGTAATTGATTCGGGAATAAATTCACAACAATGTGAATTAAAAATTGGATAAGTTCTTAATGAATTTTTAAACTGACATGACAAATACAGAAAAGACTTGGATAAACGCAAAATGGTGTTTTACATTGTTTATAGTCTTAATATCTATTATCTATCTACTTGAGATAGGGGAAGTATCATGTGCTGATCCTATAATACAATTCAACATTGCTGAATGATATCTTAACCATTCATTATAATATAACGGTTGTAATTAATCAAGGGTACCTTAGTCTTTCATTCCATTACTTTATTCTCCTCATTCGCAATCCTTGTGTGCAGAATCGATACTTGCCCTTTTTGCAATCCTTGTGCGCTGAATCGATTCCTTGCCTTTAGTGCGATTTGTTGCCCTCGTCATTCAGATTCTCTCAACCGGCGAGTCCTATGCTGCGAATCCAACATCAAACTCTCAATCTAATTCTGTTATGTGCCCTAGACATTTTGATTCAGAATCTTCTTGCTGCGAACTATCTCGGCAAACACTTCGATTTAGATTTCTCACTCAGACTCGGGGTTGTGTAATTTGTATAATGTGTTTCTTGTGTTTTCTAATGTATTTTAATCTTAAGAAAATTTGGAAACTAAGTTTGTATAATGTATCTTTAGGGAAGAAGTATCGAGTATAGTTGCCTATTTCTACATTAGGGTTAGAGCTATAGTTCTTGTGGAGCAATAGACACGCAGTTCCTGTAATTGAGGTATTAATTTCTTATTATTTTTTTTTTTCATATAAATCTGCACTAGATGATGATCTGACCTATTGATGCATATCTTTTTCAAGCAGCAAGAGGTAATGACAATCAGGTAAGTCAAGTATTGAATCCCATCCATCACTTTACCCGCTGCCGTGGTTTGATCTGTGCGAAGACGTTCCTTCAATGCACTCACCTTCTCCTCTACTGACTTCCCCAGGTTGGCTTCGGCTTCGGTTTCTTGTGAGTTGGCGCTTTTCATCGCTGTTGAATAAGCTTCTGCTATACCAAAGGTAAGGAATTAATATATATTATTTTTTCCAAATGCATATGAATGAATTAAGGCATTTGGAATTGGTTTGGTGGGGGTATATGTATATATATTATTTAGTGCATTCATCCATCATTATCTATATAATGTAACTGAAGAAGAATTGTGTGAAGAAAAAAGGGATATATTATTATGGTTGTTCTTGATGGATGGACATTTATTATATAGATATATAGTTTGTGTTGATGATGATGATGATGATTTTTGCCTTTTTTCCTAATTTCGTTGTTGGTTAATATAACTTTCCTTTCTTCATGCTTGTTTTGGGAATGGATTGTTACTTGTTTCTTTGTTTTACTTTTCAAGAATTGCTGCACTGAGAAGATGATCTCTGCTTGCATTTTTTCCAATCATCCCTTAATCCCTTCACCTTCATCTTTAACGGCTTTAATGCACTCACTACTCTTACTTTTCGTCAGTATAAACCAATCATTCACTTGTCTCTTTTTTATCTTTCAACAACATAAATGCATACATACATTGTTGAATTCACTGATTCTCTTTCTTTTGAATTTGCTTAAAAATCCCAAAGAAATGATATATATTAATTTTTCAGCAGCTGCATGCATATTGCTTAAAATCAATACTATTGCTTGCATATGTGTTCTATAGCAATAATTTGTGTTCTTTTATTTATCTGTTAAATTGTTATGAAATCGTCAACGGAGATCCAATTTCCTTATTTCTCACTTAAGTACTTCATCTTATTTCATTTTCAGCTTTACAATTTCATCTTAATAGTAGTGAAAAGCCACATACATAATGGTATTGTATTGTTGAATTTTGATATATTTATATTGATTGTGTTATGTTTAATTTTGTATTTTTACAGGGGAGAAATGACTAAACATGTTCAAATGTATTTCATCCCGAGTAAAATAGCAAAATTGAATAAGCTACTAGAGTATGAAAATAAGGAAGCGTTTAGATCCTATATTGAGAAGTCATGTTTTGAGGGTCTTCTATATGTTAGGAAAAACGAAAATAAATAGTGAGCCATTGCTTCAGTTAATGAGAAATTGGGACACCGAGAAAAAGTGTTTTGTTTTTTTAGATGGAACGGAATGGCATATTACCGATGATGATGTTGCTCGAGTATATGGACTCCCACATGGATTTGGTAAAAGTATCATATCTTTAGTAAAGCCTTCAAACTATTATAGCGAAATTCATGAAATTAGCCAACGCTTTGAGCTTGATACGAGAAATTCGACGGTAGTCCAAAATTGTTGGTAATTAGAGATATTACAATATTCTAGATTGCACCGTCCTATTGACTTTTGGAGATTTTATGTCCTATATTCTTTGTTGACGTTATTAATTCCATCAATATCTCCTTGTATCAATAATCGATTTTTTAGGTTCCTTGTATCTCCTGAGGACGCTTTAAGATATAATTGGGTTGCTGTTATAAAAGACAAGTTGGTGGATTCAATTCACAATTTTAAGTGTAAATTGGTGGATAACAAAAAACCAACTTGTAGACCGCAAGAGATATGCATTGTCTTATGGTAAGTGTTTTAAATGTATAAATATAGTATGAACATACATATTTTTGTATTTTTCTCTAAATTTTTTTTTTTGTTATTTTCAGCATTTATTTTACGATCTAATCAATTGTAAAAATTTGGGGAGTAGGAGCTTTACTTGCTCTTTTAAGAGACACATGCACTTGACTGATATGACTCAACGTTTTGGGGAGCTTTCAAATAAAACTCAAAATAAATTAGCTGAGGAAAATAAGGGGTTCTACTATGAAGTCTATGTATATATTTTTGCAGTAGAAAATTAAAAGATAGGGGTTCTACTATATTAAGAACTAATATAGTATTTTTATTTTCTAGGAAAATGAAAGTGCTTTTCGCTCAGGGGATAATGTTGAAAAATTAAAATAAGCATATGAGCGCAAGAAAGAAGCATTTATATCGAAGTTGGATACCATAAAATGTGAAGCAAATGAATTAAATGAGAAACTTTTAGCTGTTAGACAAGAGATTATAGAAACTGAGGATGAATTGTATTATCTTATTGCTGATACATTGGAAAACGAAGCATTGGCTAAGAAAAATCAACACAAAGATGATCATGCGGAAAAGGTAATTTATATTAAATGAAATTTAAGATTATATTATTTAATTTTTTTTATATATTTACTGATTTTTTTTATATATTGATAATATTTCTTTTGTAGACTCCTTGCAAAGCTACAGTTGATGAGACATCCACTGATATAAATAGTTCAACCCACAATGAGGTTTTGTTATCTGATTTGTGATATTTTTTTATTAGTTTTGATATTGTTATTTGTTGTATTTTTAAGTTTGTTATGTGAAACAGTGAGTTTGTTATATGGAACAATAAGTTCGTTATATGATATTTAGGTTTTTTTATATAATTAAAAATTATTAATTAGGGTTGAGATACTATTATTTGATGTCCGATAAGGTATACTATGCATGCATGGACTCTTTTTTGAAATTATGATATTTAAGAACGATCATTTGCTCCAAAATCGTTTGTAGGTTCCTTGTGAAAAAACTGTTGTTCTATATTCAACCGGTGATATGGAGATTCCTATGGATACGGTAAATGAGAAAATATAATTTTTTGTTGTATTTTGTTATTACGTAAATATAATTTTGTTAACTGATTTGTGATATTTTTTATTAGTTTTGATATTGTTATTAGTTGTATTTTTAGGTTGGTTATATGGAACAAGAAGTCTCTTATGTGCAATAATAAGTTCGTTATATGATATTTAAGTTTTTTATGATTAAAATTTATTCAATTAAGGCCAAGATATTGTTATTTGACGTTCAATAAGGTATATTATGCATGTATGTACTATTTTTTTGAAACTTTGACATTTAAGAACAATCATTTGCTCCAATATATTTGTAGATTCCTTGAAAAAACTGTTGTTCTATCTTCAATGGGTGATATGGAGATTCCTATGAACAATATGGTAAATGAACAAATATAATGTTGTATTTTGTTATTACGTAAATATTGTTTGTTGATATTATGTATTGTTTATTTTCTAGAATTTTGCTGGACCAAGTTTTTCATTGGGGTTGAGTCAATCGTCTGGTGATAAAAACATTGTTGATCCTATACTCGAAAATAAAAAGGTGATGCATTATATATGATTGAATTACTTAGTAGTATATTTTAGAATGTTTTTCATAACAAATTTTCTTTTTTTCTAGACATACGATGAATGTCAAGAGGATGTTGTTGCTGCTACTCTTGGTCCATTTAGTGCTACTGAAGCGCAACTAAGACTTCAATTTAAGAATCAAAACTTTGATGAAGAAGACTACATTGTATGTGATTTTGCATGTTTATAAATATTTTTTTTCTCATTATGCAATGATGTTTATTATTATTCTTATTATTTTTTCTTTAGGGTGTTGAATCGCCAATCAACACAAGGTAGCAAAGGCAATTTATTGCTTCAAGGGTGTTTAGATCACCATATTATCTTGTTGTTAAAAGTGTCCAAAAGCTTGTCATCTCACTAATATTGAGGAGTCGGTAGTGAGTTGGATATGAGATATATCTAATCGTGAAGCTTATGGTGAAACAATTGTGTCTGATGGAAATAGCTACATGCGGATCGAAGAAATACAAAGCTTAGCACCAGGGTGATATATTATAGGCACTGCAATTGTTTTTTATACTCATTTTCTTAATAAGAGAGAATTTGAAAGGGCAAACACAGATAAGAAGCCAATGACTCGTTTTTTCTTTCCAAATATATTGGCGGTATGAATTATTTAGTTTAATATATTTATAATTTATATTACTATATGTTTCTTTTTTATTGACATATTTATATTTTAATTATCAATAGTCAATTACACTGCATAAAATACAAAATAAACGTCCAGTGTCGGATAAGGAGGCAATCATTTCATCATGAACTCCGTACTTCAAAAAAAAATTATCTTGGAAAAAATTGGAAGTGCGCATTTTCAGCTGATATGTAAGTAAACGAGATTGTATTTATTTTGTATAGAATGTTTTGTTATTTGACATTTGATACAATAATTTTGTTATTTGAAAGTATTGGTTTGCTGCCGATATGTAACTTAGTTAACATAACTAGTTTGCATTACTAAAATATGATGTTGAGATGTCATTCATTGATATGAAATTGTAAAAAATGTTGTATTATTTGATATTTGACATAACAACCTTTTTATCTGATAGTTTGGTTTGTTGTTGATATATTATTTCGTTAACAAACTAGTTTATGTTACTTAGATATGATGCTGACGTGTGTCATTCATTGATCTGAAAGTGACTTTTTTTATTTTGGTTGATCTTCAATAGCTTATTTTTGTTTGTTTATTGATTTTTGTAGTTTTTCTTCCCCTACGGCCAACATGAACATTGGGTGCTCTTTTGTATCGATATACCAAGACATAAAATTTGGTATTTCAATTCACTTAACCCCAAAGAAGGTTGGATTACAGATAAGCCAACAATGAAAATGTTATGGTATTATTTTAGGACCATCGTTCGACATCATTCAGCTAATGACAGGTAGGAATGGAAGTCTTGAATATATTTTTCTTAAGAACTTTTTATAACGAAATACCAATCCTTGTTGTGTATTACATGTGCGAATGAAGTTTTGAATTTTTTTTTCTTAGTCATATCCCGCAGCTAGATACCCGTTCTTGCAGTGTAATAGTGACTTTATACATGGATTACTTCAATGGCCAATATCAAAAATAGTGTCTTGGAGCAATTCAAAGATATGAATAATTTGAATGCAAAAAGAGCAAAGGTATGTGCGAAGTTACTTTTGCAAGATGCTAATGAAAGGAAATCTAATTTGTTGGACATGTTAAGAATTTACAAATAACAAAATAAACATATGAGGAAACGAAACTGTAAATAGAATATATTTAGACGAAGATCAAGGCGGAAGTTGTGATTTTTTCAACCGTTTGTAGTTTCTACTAGTTATTTTTTAAATGGACAAGTTGTATTAGTTATTTCTAATTGTGATATATTGTATTACTATTATTATAAATGAATATATTGTAATTTGAGATGGTGTATAACCGAGGATGTGCCTGATGGAGCCGCAACTGATCAAAGAATTGCTGAAAAAGCACATGGTGATGAGAAAGTTGTGGTAGCATTAGCAGCAAAACAACCAGCCTTTCATCAGATTGTTATTTTTTATGGCCAACAAACTAGGATTGATTGAATTTGTTCGAGGCAATAGAGAATAGGCGGTAATGGAGCAGTTTCTACAGAAAGTCGCCAGCGTGTTAAAAAGTGAAAATCTATTTGCTTCACAGGGGGCTTGTTATAATATCTCAGGTTTGTGCATCGTAAGCTCTGGTCTCGATCAACCTTAAGTTTAAATCGTGCAATAATTTGACTCTTCTTCGACAGGTTGAAAATGAATTTGGGGCACCGAGGATTGGTTCTCGGGCAAGCGGCGATTCTTACATGAATTGGTTGGCAAAGATGGTTGTCGGATTAGATACCTCATCCACCGTTGCTTTAGCTCTCATTCACTCCCGGGAGTTAGTCGTACGAAGAAATTCAAACCTTGTTGTGTGTGTGTCCTGGTTTGTAGCTTGTAATTTCTTATGTTGGAAACAAGGGAGGAAGTGTTGATAACACTGGTTTGTATCCGTTGTTATTTATAATTATTATTTTGTTAGTTGATAGTTTCAAATATGTTATATAGTTTCAAAAAAAATGTTTATATGAGAGCCTTGGCTGATTATTCATTTGATTTGCTATACATACAAGCATTTTATTACCTTTGCAATGAGAGAGATAACAGATTGATAACTGCATATCTATATGCCATAACAGGTTTGGAAAAAATGATTAAAGGAACAACTAAGTGTGACTACTACAATTTTGTTCCTTCAGAAATAACAATCTAAACCCCATATATTAATTTTGATTTTTGTGTTGTTTAATGGTTAAGGCAAGACAATCTTTGTATATATATATTTCCAGCGACTACGAGCTCGAGGGACCAGATTTTCGGCAATATCTGCCATCATATATATATATTGTATATATTGATTTCCTTCTCCACAAGAACATGATCAAATGTGTGAATACAAAATGCAAGACATGCACCAGAAACTTAAGCAACACACAAACCCCACATAAAACAATTAAGTTCAAAAACAGATCATAGAATGTGAGGCTTTACAGAAAATATCATCGAAATTGTCGTTCTACTGAAGCAAGAAACTCTCCATTTCCTTGTTTTGTGCCTCGTTAAATAGAGTAAGATCATCATCCTTCTCCAACAATTGAATCCCGCTTTCCAAACTCCGACATCTCTTGTGATTATCCTCCTTCAGCCCCCTTCGAGGAGATATCTTCGTCGCAGGAGATGCAAGCATGGCTGGACTCCACACCTCACAAATCAATTTACCCCCACAAAGCTTCAATCAAATCCTGTCATAACTTCAAACATGGTGAAAATCAAATAAACCAATCATCTGCTAGTTTTCGAAACTACAAATGGATTATTCTTTACCCTACACCAAACCAAAGAACTCAAATCCAATTCACATTACCAAACAGTGAATTGAATTAAATAACAATGTGGATCAAGCAGCTGCTCTCGCCATGATTAATCTTGCAACAATAAACATAGCTTTAGAGTACATATTAACAACTTCAATGCATAATTTTCGGCATGATAACAAACTGAACAACATAACTTAGGGCAGCCGAGGAGGAGCCTCAAATCTTGCCTCTTGGCTGGCCCGTACAACTCCATTTGATGTGAAGAAAACTACTCCATGGATGTTGCTGCTGGAAACTACTATATGTTGTTGTTTCTCTGTAATCTGAACCACTCTAATAAGTTCTCAGGAGCTCTTCTTCTTGATCCCTTCATGATCCTCCATTCATAAAATATATTGAATAGAAAATAACAAATAACAAAGTTACAAATTTCTTTGTAACTTTGAATATTCAGACAATACACATTTTCAATTTTGCACCATTTAGTTTTCTAGATCCAAAAAGAACACAACAACAATCAAAATCGAGTAAAACTCTTTTTTTTTTGAAAAAAAAAAAGAAACATAAATCACTCCAAGCATACATAAAACTTATGTTCTTATTCACAAATCAAAGTAAAAAATCAAGAACTAAAAGGACAAGAAGATATTATATTCACAAATAAGGTTCTGAAACTTTAAGGAAAAACCATAAGTTGGAACAAAAAAAACAAAACAGAAAGATTCATAACAGATTTATAAAAATCATTTATTTCTAAATTCTAAACCAATTGTAGGCATCAAACCCAAGAAATATAAAGGTCCAATCCTGTAAAAAAAACAACATCAAACTGTTAATCATGATTACTTTTAAAATATTAAAGAAGAAAAATAAAGACAAAAATATAAACATCAAATATACTTCCATTTATACTTACTGATGCATATTTGAGTGAATATCAAATTGGCTTCTCCCACTGCTCCAACTCATCAACTTCTTCATAGTCTTGTAAATAGATTCTATCCAAGCCACGAATAACCAACCTTTATAACTATTTAGCATATTTAAATTATCAACTAACAAACACAAAACAAACCTTTATAACCCACAATCATTCATTCATTCATTTAGTCAAATAAGTCTGCCACATATAAACAACATCTTCCACCTCCTCATCACTCCTACAAAGATGCAAACCTATAAAAATATCAACAAATTATTAAACATAATTATTTTTCATATATAAAAAAAAATAAAGTAAAAAACATAACATCATATGCACTTCCATTTATACATACAAACACTCAATTTTTGTTTTCACCGGATGGAAATAACTCTAACTCTTTCGTGCCACTTGTGGATCCATTCAGTTTCTTCAATTTAGCCTTTTTTTTATGTCTCCAGCTTGTTTTGATATTGACATTAACCTCTTTCTGCCTTTCGAAGAAACTGCATTACTAATTCTCTTTCTCTTTTCCAATACATTTTCTGTAATCACTTGATCAACAGAATTGGTGGTGTTATTTGTTGATTGGACAACATTTTTCACCATTCGGTGGAACTCAGAGACAAAATTATCATACAATTTTTTCTCCTTACTTATTGTTCTAGTTGTACTTACCATCATCAAACACAAATTTTTGTATCTTACATTATAATCCTCTCCCTCACTTTGATGATAAAAAACTGACAAATCTAAGCAAACATTTTTCTTTGCATCTTTAGTCCATCTTTTCAAGATATAATGGTTTGGGATAACCACAAAAGTTTCCAAACCCATAACATTATTAACATCCATCACTCTTAATGAATGGCAGCAAGATTCCTATATTGATGAACATATTGCAGTCACAATGTATTAGTCGTTGTCCAAAATCCACCATGACATTATGCACCTTATCTTCATTTGATCTGAATTTGTTTTCTGGACAACATAGTGCTGAACATCAGTTTGAAAATCTGCATTTGTCACAAATTTTGTAATATATCCAAAAGCTTTGTTGTACTTGTCATAAAAGATCTTGAACACTGATGGTGTGTAACAAACAACAACTGATGTAACTATCTTATTGTATGGAAAATTTGCTGCTTGTTGACGGTCACGAGCATAGAAGTCATGCAACGCTTCTTCATTTCTTCGGCTATCAACCACCATTTCAAAATGACTGAAAAATTGTAGTAAATTGTGTTCCGGTTGCAAAACATTCTTACAATCCCATTTACTGACTCACTAAGTTGGGTAGTTCTCATTCCTGTTATGAATTGTTACAACATCCATGCAGAAAACCATTTATGCCTCAGTGTATGTATTGAAGATATCCATTTATGAGCTCCATTTGGAAAGCATGTTGATAGCATTAAAGACCATTCTAGATCAAACTCTTGCTTATTGTTGACACAATATATTAGCTTGTAGAAAAACCTTGCGAAACTACAACAAAGCAAAAAAATAGTGTTAGCATATAACATAATATTTCATATCTACTATGCGTAGCAATAAAATAATATTATCAGACAACAAACTTGATAACATTGAAATATATATCTAAAACGATCATAAATATTACCATTATGTGTATGCTTTACTCAAGTGTTTTTTAATATTCTCCAATATATGCCAAGTGCAAAGTGCATGATATGTGCATGGCATTGTCTGAGCTATGGCTGAAAATATTACTCCATCTTGGTCAGTAAAAATTATTTTTGGATATTTGATCCCCATGCATTTAATAAAGGTATTAAATAACCATTCAAATGATAATTGTGTTTCATTCAATCGAATTGCAACTCCAAATACACAACTTTTGCGATGGTGGTTGAATCCAACAAACACAACTGAAATGCCCAAAGAAAATTAGTATAATTATTACATAAAATAGTAAAGTGAATGAAAATAAGCACATGCTAAAGATATAACCTAACGGCCTGTAGCTTTTATTTATCCGATACGTGGTCTCAAATGTAAGTGAATCTCCAAATATTGAATAGTCCATTCTCATTTGAGCATCAGACCAAAATATGTTTGTAATTTTTTCGTTATTGTCCAATGCATATTCATAATAGAAATATGACTTTTGAAGAGATTGTTGACTAAAATACTTCAAAATTGCATCAGCCTCACCTATTAATTAAAATTGAAATCATTAACCAATAAAATAAACATATTACATAACAAAAATAAATAAATTAGTCTTACCATGCTCTAATGTGCTACTTCTTCTTGTACGTAAATAATTTTTCAAGTCCAATTTAGTGAAGCCCTCTAACTTTGATGACCCAACTGTCCGTTGCATCATATTATATGAAGCCCTTAATGGTAAACCCACATCTTCATTTATTTGAACTATTAGCTTACGTCCTTCCTCAATTTTCCTATTTGACTTCAACAAATGCTTATGTTTAGGAGAGTGCATAGTATGATTATGCTCATCCTCAAAATGCGTAACAACATATGTGTCATCTTCTTTATTATACTACAATTTTATCTTTGTGGGACATCCAGTTCGAGTAACAGGTATATTTCTTTGGCTAGATGCTTGTTTTGTTGATGAAGACTTGAATTCTGCCTTATTGCAACTGTACAGTATATACATAATTTGATCACCTTCTTCTTTTTTCTGATAGTTTACTCGCACCGAAAAGTGTAGGACATGAAAGCATCATTTGGTGTTTCAAATACTCTCGTTTTAAATCATGTTTATATTGAAAAGATTAGTAATATTAAAATTGATAATTTTGCATGCAATAACATATATATATATATATAAGAATATATATAAGCCGTGCATAACAAACCAATTAACAAACATTGTATACCAAATAACAAAATAAAATTTGTAAATAACAAGCTTTAAATCTCACATAACAAATAGAAGCCACAAATATGAACCTTTATAATCATATTACATAAGTTTAAGTAATAATAACAAACTTTAAGTAATAATATAAGATAGTTTGAGTATCTGAGTAATAAACTCAAAACAACAACTGACAAAAATACGTAACTTTTAGATAGATAGTACCATCATTGATCTTGAGATGTGTAATTTGTGTTCTATCTATTGATTCAACTAAAATTTCATCCATATGATGCATTGGAAGTCCATCCTTACATTGAAATTCATCCATGCAAATTAATTGTGGCTTTGCCTGTTAACA